CTCATTGTCACTCTTGCTTAGTAACATGTTTTGCATTTTTGGTTGATAATATTATAACAATATAATATATTTATTTTAAATTTTATTTTGTATTAATATTGATTGTTTGAGTTGGGCAATAACAATATAACAAATCAACAAATTTATTTTGGTATTTAGTTTATATCATTATTTACTTTATCGATTGATAATATTACATATGTAGCAAATTATCAAATGATTTACATCTATTATGAAATATTTAAATTTTACAAAAATAAATAAATTTAATCATATTAATATGGTTGACCAAACTCAATCTAACCTATTCATGATTAGGTTGGGTTAGGTTGAATTTAAAATAAAAAAAAAGCACAATTCCAACTCAATATGACCCGTTGGTTTTTTGTCACAGATTTATCCAAACTTGACTCACTTATGCCCCTAACATCTAAGATTTGAATCTTAGTCTTGAGTATGAAATAACCTATGTTGGAAAAAGATATACATTTTATGCATGCTCACGTCCCTAGTAAAGATTAGTTATTATTTTTTACGATAGTTATTTTGTAACAATATTATGTTTTGCAAAAAATATTCTCACATTAAAAAAATCACATCATTAATTTTATTTATTTTGCAATTTTTAAAGTTAAATATAGGTTAAACTATACTTTTATTCTTTTAGATTACTTTCTAGTTTCATTTTAGTCTTTTATTTTTTTAAATGTTCATTTTGGTTCTTTATATATTACATTTAGGTCAATTTAATCCTTTTGAATATTTTTTTTTGACTGATTTAAGACTTGAAATTTGTCTTATTGTATTCACATATATGAAAATAATTGAATGCAATTAAAGTTCAAACCAAAAGTGTTATATAGATGGTAAAAATAGAAAATTTTAAAAAGTTTAATTTCATACTATTTTATAGTTGTTCATGAGATATGTTTTTCATACAATTTTCACTATGTTTATAACCCTTTTGGATTCAAATGTTAATTGCATTTCATAATTTTCATATGGGTGAATCTAATGTTACAAGTTACATGTTTTGAATCAATCAAAAATTGATTCAGAATTGTGTTGCAATTAAGAAAGTTACTCTCATAGAGTTTATCCTTCTCAAGGATAAATCATTGTGATACATGTTTATAAACATGGTTTTCTAAAACAATAAAATTGTAGGATGTAAGTATCATGATTTTAAACATAATTAATAAGGACTTTTAAAATATGCGCCTACTATTTTATTCAAATGAATAACCCTCACTTATTGGCTCAACATCTTGTTGGAATATTTTATAGTGGGACAAGATTTGTATTTCACCTCATCTTATGTTAGCTTTGGATGATCACTCAAATCTTGGTTATTTAGGTAGGAAACTCTTTTCCAATTTCATCCCTGCTCTTGAATCAATTGGGTAGATTTTTATTCTAATTTATCATATAAATTGATGACTAATCGTTACTTCTAAGCCTTTTCAATCTTGTTGAATATGCTTAGTTAAGTCAAAATCAAAGGTTGAGAATTGTATATTACAATTATCCCATAGTGTCTCATCAAAAGTAATTAAAATGCGCAACTTTGACATCACCCATACTTATACAATCATGGTCTTGAACACATCATAAGGCATAAGACTTAATAATAACTAAGGAATTTTTTATTAAGTTATCTCTTTAACATTGTTTAAACATATAAATAGTCTCTCGTTGTACATAATCATACACTTTCAAACATTTTATAAATATATAAAACATACATAATGGTCAACTATATTTTTGCTAAATTTATACATTGGGATGAGGTCAAAATTTAGGCTAATTAATTTAAGCAAATTGACATGGTTTTGAGTTATTCGTGTGCATGATCAAAAAATAACCCAACTCACAAGAAAAGACCAAGATTTGATTCAAAAAAGACAATTAGGACAAAAGCATGACCACACTAACTTAAGCATAGTCATGTTAAATGATGAAAATGTCCCTAACAATCACATAATATAGTATGATTGTGCTTGGTTAAACGCAACCATGTTAAAAATCTAAGCTCCACATCAAAAGAGAAACACAAAAATGCTCGATAAAAATATGGTTGTGCTTAGTGTTAGCTAGTGCTTAAAGTTATAAAAGAGGGGAAAGGGTTGTCACATTATTAGTATCACATTTTGCATTATGCCTTATGTAATGACCTGACATGGTAACCACACTTATGGATCACTTATGATTAGCAACAAAAAAACTAACATACTTAAGATTATATAATTGTAATATTTGGATGCACACTATAACAAGTATATGAAATATAAGTGTAACTAAAAATAACTCTACAAGTATATACAATATATGTATAATCATCCAATAAAATATAGTATAAATCCTAAGTTGTCAATAAAGCAACGTCTATACAGACTAATAAAAATAGTCAAGGACTAAACCATTAACAAATATGGCCCAACAAAAGCTCCAACAACTCAACTCCAACTAACCTTGCTCTACTTCCATGAAATATCATGATCATTGCAATTCCAACTATAAGGAAAACACGCAAGGGTAAACTAGATTTAAAAAAAGAATATAAGTATAGGAAGAAAACATAAATACTACTATCAACCTCCACATGAAAACCAATAATAAACACCTCATGGTTCAAAACATTCACCAATTCAATGAAACACAAACATGTTTGAAAGCTAAACATACAAGCAATTCAAACATTCATCCCAATCATACCATACCACAAGGTATTCACACCATGCATATGAACATCAACTCACACCATATCATATGCATATACCACAACTAATGCATCTTCACACATTCACTTATGGAGATCTCCTGACACACTTGAGTAGTTTAAGTGACTTGATCCTATAGAACTAACCCAATCGTTTTCACGCCTCACGTGCCCACTAAATTAATCAACAACTAAATTGGGATGTCAATCCCAATTCTTTGATTTCTCAGGTGCCATCACTTACATTAGGAAAATCCAATTCCACTATTTGGATTAACATAATTGGCTATAAGCATACCATGACCTTGACATGCATTACCAAGTCACATATGGAATTAGCCCACTAACTATCCTCAAGGAACCACACAACCTTTTTTAAAAATTAGTTAAGGGTTGTAACCCTGAACTTCATATCTTCTTCCAACAATAACTAAGGACCTAGAGGAGAGTTACAAATCTACTCCAAGAATTTCACACCTACTCAAGAAGGATTTTCAAAAATTGATATTCTAGAGTGTTACAACATTATTCCCTAAATGGGATATTCAACTTTTATAATCAACATCTTTTCTTCTAGCTCTAAGTCAATCAAAACACTTTAATGCTCATAACATTCTCAGCACTAACATATATAAACTATATATTTTACCCCAAGTCAATGAATATAAAGATCAAAGCGTACCAATAAAGTAAGGCATATTGATGCCTAATCAACACTCTAACCATGTAACTGTAGCATATCAATCATACATAGCATATCAATGCTCATCATCATTTTCAACCATACAAACATCTATGTATATCATCCTAAATCAATATACCATTTCAACAACTCAACAAGAATTAACATTTTAGCTTCCCTTACCTCACAAAACACCAAGAGGAAAAAAAAGGGAAGAAAGATGAAGAAAATTTGAGCTTTCCCGATGAACTATATACAACTATGCAACTAAGATTCAAGGCTCTTAGAACCTAAATCACATTACGCAAACAGATCAATGATTTTGGGAAAAGAATCTTCCAATTAAGAGAAAGTTTAAAGAGATGAAGAAAACTCATGGACTTAGAGCACTTCTCTCTAGTTTATCTCTCTAGAATATGGAGAAATGAACTTATGAAACTCAATTCTCAACAAAAACCTTATATACTTCCTCTCCTCAGGGTTAACTGGACCTTTAGTTAGAGACCCTCAAAACTAACCACTCTTGAGATTTCTTTAACTATCAAAGTCACTTAGCACACCTTAAGCACCTAATAAATAATTATTGTTACAAAAACAACAATAAAACAAAACTTATAGTGTTACACCCTATTTCTTTTTTGGCTCGAGATCTTTTTCTTGGGTTGGAAGGCTGTTGGACCATGCTTCTAATATTAATACCTTAGATCATAAGGAGTCACCTTGGCACCCCATTGTTGTAGCTATGTTGATGTAACTATAGTTGGTTAGGATACTAACATTTTTACGAGAGAAATTCAAATTCCAAAATGTAACTATAGTTGGTTAGCTTGAGTACAAGTTAACTTGACATTGGTTACACTTAATTCAAATTGACGGATTATCATAAAATCATTTTATATATTGATTTGAATTAATGAAACGAAGTATCAAATGATTTTTAAATTTTTTAAAAATTTGCAGACTTGATCTATACATTAAGAACTATAAATTCAACGGTTGGATCATTGAAATTTAATTTAGAATATAAATTATTAAAAAGAATAAGTCTAGATAAACTTATTCGAAATAAACGAATCTTCCTTATATATAGAGTGACAAAGGTTATTCAATCATATATGGATGGACAATGTTAAAAGTTATTAATCCCATCAACCCATAGTATGCAAAATCAAAATGAATAAGTTGCACAAAACTAAATTAGTAGTCATAGTAAGTCACATGGGTATCATATTATCACCTTACGAGTATGCTTGTCAAGGCATTCAGTTAAGTGTCTGTCATGATAAAAAAAAAATAGTTGAGGGATTAAAACCGTCTAAAAAAAGATGAAAATAATTTTATGAAAAAAAGAAGAGACTATATCCAATAAAAAAATAATTGTTGAAAGACCAAAAATGAGTTTTGTGAAAAGAAGAAGAAATAAAAAACATAATTTAACAAACAATGCAAGGCTAGACTAAAAATATTAACGGAGTAAAAAATTTAAGAGTAAGACTGTCAATTTTTATTTAAAAATAAAAGGTCAAATTTAAAACAATTTAAAACTAAAAATATTAAATGTTTTATTTATTTATTGTACTAATTACAGTGACAATGAGCTTTCGCCTTTGACACTTGTTTTAGACTTGTAGTGGAATGAAATCATTACATGGCGATTGATTAGCTGCATAGAATCTATTTTCTTTGAGCCAAAGGGAACCAACCTTGGGAATGTGACGATTCATAGGTTAGGTGGCCACCCCAACTCTTTTGCCACTGAAGGAGGATATGCCAAATAAAATCAGTGGAGCAGAAACTTCTTTAAGAAATGAACTTTGTTTGAATCTACATAATGAAAGCAAAAATAATAAACATATTGTTTCTATCTTTCCTTCACTAGTCCTCAGACCTGGCATATTCAGTAACTAAGCTAGTCCACAAGAAAAAATTCCTTATCTTCCTCCATGTTCTGTTTCTTTCAAGGTTCAAGAATGAGACTTTTCTTCTGTGGAAGTATTGGCTTGCTTATTTTTCGGCAGAAAAAAGGAGGGGGGAAGAAAATAAAAGGAAAATAGGTGCTGTTGCAAGATACAAACCAACCCAGTATACAATAATACATACTCAACCACATTGTTCAATTTTGGATATCAAAACCTAGACTTTATATTTGCACTTTATTTTCCCAATTTACTTTTCAAGAGCTTCTCTCTTGTTTGAATTGAATTCTTCTTGCCATTCATGATCCTCAGGCTTTGCCTTAACAAGTCAAACTCCCTCTCCTTTTTGTACTTTTCTTTCTCCATTGAAAGTAATTGAGTTTTCAAGGCCTTGGTGGTTTCTTCCTTCTCTTGCAATTCCCTTCTCAGATTCTCCATTTGGATGTCATTCTCCTCTGCTTTCCAATAAAGACCATCCCCTGTGAAACACATAGCCAGAAAACAAATAAGCCCAACCAAATCAAGAAAACAACACACATTTGTTCAAACCTTATGTAGTTACATTAGTAGCACTAGCATGACCATTTCTTAAGAGCAAAGTAAAAATTAAACGATGACCAAATCACCAACCCATTATAAAACATCTTAATTGGGTTAGTTATTATTAAGGGAAGGGCAAGGCATTGAACCAACCCCACCAGCCTCAAACTACTTTTCAAAGGACATTTATAGCATAAAAAAGCACGAGGCAAATTACCATGAATTCTTGTTCTACAAATTATGATTTGCTAACTAATCGTGAATAAACTTTTTTTAAACACTTATGAAAGAAAAATTAAAACAAGCTTTTCATAAACTAAAACAAGTTTATGCAAAAGTTAATTTATAATTTTTTTAAAAGAAATTATATGAAAAAACTTTCTAAAGATTAATTTATACATAAATTAATTTTAATTTATCAAAATTTTCTATTTTTTTTTTCATGCAAATACTCATAGAGAAGCTTATTTCACTATACATTTAGGAATAGAAAAAAGAGTGAGAGAAAAAGAGACCATCATATGTCCTTTGAATGAGTTCATCAAGCTCAGTCTTAATTGCAAGATAAAGTTGCTTCCACTTCTCCACAGCTTCATCTCTCCTTGCTCTCTCCTCCTTCATCTGCTCAACCAAGAGCTTAGTCCCCATCAACTCCCACTCTTTCTCACTCTTCTTCTCCATCAACCCCACTTCCATCTCCCTTATCTTCTCATCCTTCTCTTCAACAACCTTCCTCAACTGCTTCACCTCCTCCCTCAGCCTCTTCCCCTCTTGCTTCCAATCTGCCTCCTTAAAAGTGAACACCATTATGTCCCTCTCATAGCCCCTACTCTCCTTCTCCCTCTCATACATCATCTCCTTTATCTCCTCTTGCAACACCCTCACTTTCTCCTTCAAATTCATCACATACTTCTCAGAGCACCTCCTCTCACTCTTGCTACCACTGCCACCCATCTTTGAGGACCCTCTTTGCTTTTGTGGGTGTGTAACTATAAAGGGTGGTGGTGGGTTTTATGTATTGTTAACTTATAGTGGAGAGAGAGAGAGGAAGAGATAATAATAATAATAATGATGGAGGATGAATGGTATAAAACTTGAGTTCAAGCTAGGTAGGCTCCTGACATTGATAGAAAACGCACCAAGAATTTTGGGCTATTTTATGAAACTCAGATAAGGGTCGTTGTTGTACTTATGTTTCAATAATGGAAGTGGTGAAATGAGGCTCGTGAATTAATTAGTAGTAAGAATTTACTTTGGACACATAGGCACCACATGTTCTGGCTGCAATTATAAATAGGAATTCACCTATTCACATGCAACATATTTCTAGGGAGCGTGGGGTACATAAGATTTATTATGATTTATGACCCTCAATAATTAAACAAAATATTGGCTAATTCGAATTGGTCACATTCCGATGTGTGTAATACTATCATGAAATGATGCGAGGTTGTTCATGATGAGCATCCTTGTGCTGTACGTATTCCTTTCCCACATGCTTATAGTACATCTAAACATAATTCTCGTGAAGCTTTGCGAGTTTATTCGAAATTAATCATATGGGGTCTATTTTAGATCACAAATTCAGAGACAAGAAAGCTTACTAAGTGACAATTTGTGCAAACGCAAAGTCAATTTCAATCGACTGAAAAAAAAAAAAGTTAGAAATATCGTGCATGCTTAACTTTTGTAATGGAGAAATTTCCCTCTAATTATTAGCAAGAAATAAAAAACTGTTTTCGCCACCAATAGATTAAACGCTGCCCCATAAGTCACATGAGTAACACTTAAACCCCACATATTTTTTGAAGGACAAAAGGCACATTAAATAAATAAGAAAAATATACATTGGAACAACTGTCAAATTGTCACACGTTTCTGTAATCCACGAGTAAAGCTAACTCAGTTTTGTTAAGTAATCTTGAAGATCTAGTAGTGTGATTCAAAAAATAGAAGGAGAAATTTTATTAAAAGTGATCAGTTAAATTTTTGGATAAAAATTAGCCTCCCAAAATATTCTTATATGGAAGTTTGGCAGAAACCCTTGTACGTGGTCCATACCAACTAGAGAGATAGAGATAGTAATCTAGATTAGGCCAACAAGAAGGTTTGTCATGGGAAGCACATTTAGAGAGTGTGACAACAATATTCTCAAACTAAGCCTTAGCCATGCTGGGAAAGAACCCTATTTTTGCAGGTATATATTGATTGTCTTTTGGTTTCATAGAAACAAATTTTCAATGCGTGATGTTTGTATATTATCCTATACGACATCATCAACATGCTGGTACAAAATCATTAATAATGGGTTTGTGGATGCCACCTTTGGATTCCCTGCTTGAAAAGGACTTGAAGCATTCCTGCTATTATGGCCTTGCCGTCTAGA